CCCTATTGGATATTCACCTTTCTTTCATGATGAAAACAAAATTCTGAATCTTCTCATTCTGTAGATAAAAGTTTGCTCAAGCAAGTATTCAATCAATTTAACGGAAGATTTTAAGTAGAGGGGCAGAGACTAAGGGCGTCGGGCCCCCCCTGCGTCCAAGCGTAATCGTGGTGGGGGGTGCGCGAAGCATACCCCTGGTGTTTCGGACCTGGAAAGCCAATTCTCACCCTATCTGGCCCTCCCATGTGTGTGCGTAATATTATGGCTTTCGAACAAAATACCCACTTCTTGCCCTACGTGGCCCTCCCCACGCGACTGCGTAGTCATGATCTTGGTGGGGCCGCGCGCCCCCCAGCTTTGGGATCAGAGAGGCCACTCCCTGCCCTTTGTTCCCCCCCCCCCCAAAATGACGTTCATGGCGGGGGCAAACGGCCCACTTCCTGCCCTATCCGGCCCTCCCCGCTGGTGCGCGTGATCATGGCGGCCTGCTTCACTGGAGGCAGTACCTGATTGGCTCCATCGTGTTCTCCGGGACATGCACTGAAATGCTTATAGCCGTCAGGTTTTCGGCCTCGCTTCTTCTGCCGGATGCAGTTTTTTTCAGGGCCGACACAAATTGAAATGACGATTTTGTCAAGTCATCCTTGACGTTTCTTTCCCCCCTTCTCTTTCTGGAGTGTGTGTCCGGTCATGTTCGCCAACACATAACCCCACAACGGACGCACGATTCTGCCAGACTTCCCGTAAACTTTCCACTCCCACACCGCGGCGTGATCTGAGTCGCTAGGCACAGAAGCTGCTTGGCCTTTTCTCTGTTTGTTTCGTCCCTTTTTTTTTTTTTTTTAATGTATTTTTTTTTTTTCCCCGGCCCTTCCCCTTATTCCTATGTGTGTGGAAGGGACGGAGATGGGATGGACTTTTGAGGTGTCGAATTTTGTGGGGGCAGCAGATACCGCGCACTGCCACTCGGGCATAGGAACGGCCCCGAGAAAAGGGGGACTCCGAGGATCGAAGGTCCAGAGGCATCTTATTGAGAGCTGAAAGGGATGAGGTCCCGAGGGGGACATCGCCATTGGGGTCTGGTCAGTCAGCTTGCTGGAAAGGGACATGTGCAGGTCCCTCGGCGGATGGCTCAGTGAGCACCCTCCGGATGTGCCAAACAGTCGGTGGTTGGCGGTTCGGAGTCCCGTTTGCACTCTTATAGGGGCCTGCGTGCTTAGCAGCCCCCTTGCAGTC